CCCGCGGCGTCACCAGACAACGTCGCCACTCGGGAAAATGCAAGAGCGCACATCACCCTGTATCGGTCGATGAAGTCCATAAACTCTTGGGGGTACTGCTTCCTCTGCTTATCCGCAAGCGGATGAGTAGTGAGAAGGAAGGAGTCAACCAGCTGGTGCAGCTTGAGATCGTACCCAGAGTTGCATGTCAGCTGCTCGAGGCGTTGCCAGATTGAGGCCTGTGGGATCTCTTGAATCCCAATCTTCAGCATCATCATCTTCATCCTCAATCCTATCGGAATGTCCTCGGAGCGCTTTCCACCCCCTGTGGACTCGTCTCTCGGGGTCTGAATCGGGACAGGGGCTTCATCGGTACCCATGTTGGAATCATCCTGCTCCGTGGGAATCGGCGGAACAGGAGGCCTTTCCGTAGTCGGTGCGATCGCACCGCTCGGAAGGCCTTCCCTGCATAGCGAGGGAGACTTCGGCTGGGGTGATCGGGCAGCCGGTGTCTTGGCAGCAGCCTTCTTCGGTGGCTGCTTGTTCTTTCCTCCCATCGATCAGCAGCGGCGGCAGCGCGGGGAAGTTCGCAGCCCGTGGCAGCTACAACCTGTCCTAGCAGGGAGCGCAAGTGGGCTATAGACTGGGTCGTAGTAGAGGTGGTCTGTGATGGTCGGTTGATGAAGGTGATCTATGATCATCTTCCCTAGAGCTCCTTACCAAGTTGTGTCAAGTGTAAGTGTGCAAGTGTGTGTGTGTGTGTGAACATGGCCTTGGCGTCTTTGTTTAAGCAATCGGCTACGCGGATTGCTGTGAGCCAAAGATTGCAGAATTTATGAAGTGTTCAAGCACAGTCCACAATGCAAGTCGAAGCTCCTTCGGGTCGGCCCTTTTGACCTTCTTGTGATTGCATGCAAACCGTGACATGAAGATGGGCCCAAAACGGGCAGGCATGAAAATCTCACACATCCATGCATGCTGGGAACATCGACCAGAGGAGCACGAGCACAGTTTAACAGGGCACAGCTCGTGCGACTCAGACCATCGTCGTATATACTCCCTACCCCACAACGGGTTTCCCTTCGGCAGCACAAGAAACACAGGGATTCCGGATGAGCGGGCAGCGGAAGCATACCCGAGTAATTTCTTGGCTTCCCATCCTTTTTCCTTTAGGTCGCCCCTCATTTCTTTCCAACCCCTGCTCTTGAAACCAGCTTCTCTTTTGTTAGCGGTGCCAGCAATCGGAACAGTGACAATACATACCGCAGGCGTAGGCGGGACCCTGATGTTCGAAATAGCAATCCCTTTTGCATTATCATCGAGACTGAGATTGATACTTCGAGCATGAGGGAATCGGATTATGCCTTCGCCTCCGATATGAATACATTTTACTGCTGCTCCGAATTGGTGAGCATCATCGATTGAAACACCCCCCTGACGAGACATGTCGAGGATGAAATCGTTGAAGGGGCTGTGTCCGGTTTCAAGATGTACCCCCCTGGTTGGACAGACAGAGGGGAGAGCAGGGAGAGCGGGAGCGGCAGACAGCATACCGGAGGAAATAAGAGTACCCTTACGAAAGTGACCAATAGACATAAGGTTGCGGCCCCACACCTTAGCATCAGTGCAGGCCTTGGTCAGAATATCACCAGCCTCGAATTGAGAGGGACACGTTACGAACAGAAAATCCCCAGCGTGATAACGCTCGTTCAACGCAGAGATATCGATGCGCTGGGTACGAGACATGTGACGCATGTTCGGATTGTGACCAGTGATAACGACACGAATAGCGGCCTCATTGTCCTCCATGACCCGCAATCGGAAACGGCGGCCCAACATATACTCCCACATAGATAGAGCAGGCAGGCCTAATTTATACACAGCGTGGTCAAGAGACAATTTCGGCCTCGGGGGTAGACTTCGACACAGAAGTTTGCTTCTTGGACAAAGCATTAAGAGGCATAAAGCTACGCGGCCCAAGAAGACACATAAAGACACCAGAGGTGCTCTTGGAATCAGTGCGGTCACCCGCAAGATCGGCATCGCAGTAGAGCACAAGCTCCAGCATCTCGGGTGCATCACCAATCCACCCATACAAGTTGAGATCGAGGGTAGAGTTGATATAGCACACCAGTCGATGGAGTTTCTTATCACACAAGCCATCCCACTTGGTGATGAGACTGGCAAGTGCCTGCACAGGACGGATTAAATCGTACCGCCCCATGCGAGCACCATATAGAATTTTCATCAGAACGGCGGCTGCACAGTCGCCGAGAACGCCCTTACCAGGAGGCACAGGCGTGTCAGCGGGATGGCCCAATAAGCGGTTCACAGCAGGTCGATCCGGATTGGTATCGAATTCCGGTCGTGATTCATCGAGGAATGGCGTATCAGCCGACCGCAAGGTGGCCTTATACTTAGGGCCACAGAGCTCAACATAGCGAGAAACACATTGTTCCATGAACGATCGCATATCGTATTTGATCATGCGAATTTCTCGAGGACCAACAGAGCCCTGCGCGACACTGGTGTCGCGATCACCAAACGTCAGCTCGGGAAACGCCTTCTTGGGTTCCTCGAAGCGCGTCCAATAGGAGCGCGGATCAAAGGCACTAGGGACAACGTGGGAGAAGGTAACATGCTCGCATCCCAAGTAACGTTTGATGCTCGAGGGCGGCTCCAATTTAATCTTCGATGCCATGAGCTCCCACCCTTTTGCCAGATTGGCCTTTGGTCCACTGAGCTTAAAATCATCGACGTAGACCACGAGCATAAGATTAAAGTTTGGGATGACGAAATACACTCTTCCAGTCGGGACACTGCTCGAATCCAACTGATCGAAGAGCCTTCTCACAATGCTGTTCCCAGAAACCACCGGCATCCGGATGCCCATAAAGGGCCAGCACTAGGCGTACGACCGGATCGTGATATTTGCCTTGCCATTCGGGCAACCAACGATCCTTGGGCAAGCGGACCCACGTGGCCGGGCCGCCAAGCTTGGCCTGAGTATAGGCAGATTCGCCATCGGCAACCTGTATTTCATGACCAGGAAGAAGGCCGAAGGCATCGGCGGCCTTTCCAGCTTCCATGGTCGCGGGGCAAGAGGTGATCTCGGAGAAAATAGCCCAATTATTGCCCTCGTCTTTGACATGACATCCTTCGAACACCACTCGACCCTTAAATTTGCGATTAGGGTCGGACTCCGGAAGCTCGGAATTCTTCTCAACGCATATATCGAAGATACGGCCAACGTGGGCCGTTTCCCCTTTGGCCATAGCCTCGTTAGACACATCGCGCCACTCACGCACGGATGCGTAATCCCAACATCCTTGGTTGATGAGCTTATTCCACTCCTTGTCAAGGGCGGCTTTCGCCTTGGGATTAGCGGCACGCTCTTTTCGGTCAACGGGCCGTGCAACACACGCACTGTAGAAGAAGACCGGTGAATCGGGAGATCGGTGTGAATGAGGATCAGGGCGAACAGGCATTGCAGGTGCTGTATCAACAGCGCGGCCGTCATCGGATGGTTCAACCGGTGCAGAAACATCACATTCCACGTCTTCTGCGGTGAAGTCGAGTTCAACCGCTGCCAGAACGGAAGTGTAAAACTGAACCACAGCAACGTCTTGTCCGGGCTCGACTATAATATCGTAGTCGGTAGGATTAAGGACGTCAACACCGGACTGAGTTGCCCCTTCATTGTATGTGTACATGGCCGGGCAAACATCGAGGCCACTGCCGCGAAGCGGCTGAAGACGGGCGGACATACCACCCGGGGGCTCAAACTCAAGATCCGTAACGACACAGGCGCGAGATTTGGCAGGTACGACAGTACGGCCATTTGCACGCAATGCGTGTCCATAGTATTAGTAGCCATTCGCAGTCTGCACGCGGCGCCCCGTGTCATCGGCGTTCGGCATACGGGTTCGAACTTTAATCTGCGTTTTGGCGGAAGAACCGATAACGAAGACCGTCTTTCCCGTCCATCGACACGGCAGAGACCGAGTGTCGGATGATCTCCATGAGTCCTGCAACGTGAACTCGGTACCGTCAGTCATGGCCATAGTCATCCTGACATCGGTCAATGTTGTAGGATCAACGGGACAATCTTTGACGGAGGTAGGGTTGAAGCGCGCTCGGCGTTCGATCACATGAAATCGGGTGATCGTGCCAGCTGCGACATCGTGATACCAGTAATCCTTGTCATGCCGTTCGGCACCCGACTCATATTCAGAATCGTAAGCGATGTCGACAGGAGCAGCATCGCGAGAATCCTCTCGGGACATGGCATGAGACTCAGCTTCTCGGCGCTCAGCCTCTACATATCCCTCCCGTTCGGCGCGGTTCATACTGCGCCAGGATTCTGAATCGATAGAGTTCGGTTTTCGAGACCCTTTATATGCCCGCTCGGAACGCGGCACACTCTGACGATAAGGCAAACCCCCCTCGCCTTCCAGGATCTCCGACCCGTGGTAAGGAGGTAACTTCTTCTTGGGTGGGGCATAGCCGTCATCATAGAATTCGACATTGCCGGTCCAGAGCTGCATGAGTCTTGTTTTGCCGAAGGCATACCCGGTCTCATAGATCGTAACCGGGCTTTTGTCCTTGTATTGAACATGTGATATACGCACCGTGCTCAGCTTCCATGGATCAGGCGACTCCCCAACGGAACCGGGAGTCTTACTGGGATGAACCATCGCTTTCCTTGGAACAACGACGTGATACGTCCATTTATGCACAGATGGGTCATACTCCCAGTAGTCAACACCTCCTCCATGAGAGGACTCTGCTCGTAACTCAGCCTCGCGAGCTTGGCGAATATCATCATCGGTCATTCGCGTTGACTCATCAAGGGCGAAGATTTCATCGATATCTTCGAGATCGAGCATGTCGGAGGCGTCAAGACGCTCACTTGGCTTAGGCACATTAGAATGCATCGCGGGATCGTTGATTCACACTGATCGTGTCTGTTTATCGTATACAGCCAGCATCGGAAATGTCCATCGCTCCTTGGGTGAGCACTATAGCTTCTTGACCTGATGGACGCTCGCACGCAGTGCGTCGCGTTTGAAATCTTCAAGGTCGGCGACTATATAGTCACCATCCCACCTGCCCCCATTCTCGAAGTGGTAACCCAGAAACACACCGGGTTTGCTCGTGGGAGAGAATTTGCTGGGGCGCTGGTAGGACGATAGGCGTTGATCCATGTCTGGTCCTTGGAGGGATCCAGGTCGATCGTCGTCTCCATCGTCGATCCACTCGAGATAACCATCATCATCGAATCCAAATTCGACTTCGACCAATCCATCATCTCCAGGCGCAGGTACGGCATATTCCTCACCATCGCCGAGTACGACTTCATCTTTCTGACTACGTCGGGTTTGTTTTCGTGCCGGCGTGGGATAGAAGTCTACAAGACATCCGAATGGGAGAACCTGACCGTCAAATTCGGCACCATTAAATCGTAGCGAATACGCACTTTGTCCTTCGCGTAACTCGATGTTGCGAGCATGACAAAAGTGCTTGCACGCATAAGGCCAGAATTTGGCGCTCAGTCCCGCTTGTCGAAGCGCCACTTGTGCGCCATGAAGGACAAGCTTCACCTTGCTCTCGGCAATGGCATTAGTGCGAGGCATGCCAGGAGTGGAATGTTTGACAGAGATGCCGACTCTTTTGCAGGTCGATATGAACTCACGGGCTTTATCACAGTAGATTTCCCGGATCGCAGACGGTGCATACCTTCTCTCCACATCCATGGAGAACGAGTTCACATCTTGAAGGTCGCCGAAGACCTGCTGGAACGCTCGAAGCGTGTCGGCATTCGTCCTCCCCTTGACGGGAACACTCTCTAACCACTCGGTCGCTAGATCATAGAAGACAACAGCATCTGTTTCCCCATTATTCCCACGATTGCCAAGCCCGTGCAACACCATAGTATCGATGGTGACGTGCTCGCCAAATTTCTCAAACCCTTTATCGCGTGGTGAGTCTTGGCGAAACGACTTAACGTTTTCCATCTTTGCACGTTGGCATGCATCGCAGTAGGGATTCTTAGGTAGATGGGTCATAAGGTGACGGATGGACTTAGCCTCCTCCCTCAGATCGCGCGCTCTCGGTTCATCGGGCGGCGACTGATGCTTAGGCTTGTTAGGCACCTTCTTGATATCGTCAGGTGCACTTTTCTGGGCACTCTTAGCACAAGGCATATCAAGATCGAGCTCACCAATGTCGTCTAGCTCGCCCACAGGTTCTTCACCCGCAGCGACGATTTTCTCGTGAATAATGATCGGTGCTGGGAGTGCCGGATACACACGAGGGAGATCAGGTCGACCCGCGACTACCTCGGTTTCGCTCGGAGCGAGGTAGGGGATGTTATTGATAACATCAATCTTGAGTTGTCTCCCTTTGGGATCAAAGAATATCGGATCACAAAAGGGTTCCCAGATAAATCGGTAACCAAGCTCCTTGCATCGTTTCCCTAGGGAAAGAAGACTTGGTGTGCTCTCCAGCACATAAGCTTCGATCAGCTCATCGAGGCCGTCAATGCGCATATGGGCAACACCTTTGGTGTTAGTTTTCCCATTGGCGGTCCTAAGGCTGATCTTAGCATTCTGAACTATCAGGTCCCTTTCTTCGCGGGACAGATCACCGAGACCAATAAGGTCTATACCGCACCCGGAGTCGAGCATTAGTCTCCGGACCCTCTTAATAGACTTGACAGCAGCAGCAAAGACCTCGCAAGCGCTCCGCTGAGAAAGCGTGAGCTCAAGAACACAAGCATCATTACCTAGCGTTTTGGCATCAACGTCATCGAGCAAAACCTGCTCTCTCCAAAGCACAGCCTTCATGTGCGCCCTTCGCCTCTCGCGAGCACTATTCAGACCACGGATATCTTCCGGCCACGAATAGTTCAAATTCCTCTCGCGATTGACGGGACCGAAGTTTGGCTCCGGGAAAGAAGACTCTATCACGCGGGTCTCAGTATTCCCAAACGACACTGTCTTCCGCTTGACTGACGGACATGCCATATCGAATGATGCAACGCAAGCGAAGGCGAAGTCTCCATAGGAGGATGCTGTCATTGCCTGAGGGTTGCGGCACGCCCCTCTCAAAAATCCGAGGGCGTGGGCGCCGGGCTGTCAACCCGCCTTGACGTCGGCGCGGGCTCAGCAGGCGCAGGAGCGGCAGCAGGGGTGCTCTCAGCTGGGGCACCCGGCTTCACATGCTTATAAGGGCACTTGTCTCCTCTCGAGCAAGTGCCTCGTGCAAAGTAGAAGCAAATACCAGACTCCTTTGAAATCGGTGATTGCGATCGAGGCGGGAAACCCTTCGGCGAGGAGCTTCTATGCCAGTCCGGGGCTAACCGGGTCCTTTCCATTATGGAACCGGGTCCTAGGACTTAGTGTGTTCTTGTCCTAGGACTTATGATGTTGATGTGACATGGAATGTAGCAAGACATGTGTTCTTGTGGCTCAATGGAAGACATGCTGGACATGTGAAAACTTGTGTTCTTGCGGCTCAATGGAAAACAAGACCTGAAAACTTGGTCTCTTCCAAATGGAGATGCATACCTGAAAAACTGTGTTCTTGTCGCTCTATATGGAAGAAGCGAGATGCTGGACATGTATAAAAAGATGTGTGCTTGTGGCTCAATAGAAAAATCAATGCATGAAAAACTTGGTTTGATCGAAATGTGAAAACATGTACATCGAAAAATCAAAGCCATACTGACATAATTGCCTGTCCCAAGTTTTGTAGTTCACATGGAAATTAAAGTTGCCAAAAAAATGAAAATACGTTTATGCCGAACAAACCAAACAAATGTAACTTGGTGTTCTTGTGGCTCAACGGAAACAAAAAGCTTGAGATTTTGTGTTCTGAAACCCTAAAGTCAGCTGTTTGTACGATTCAGAACAACTTGAAAATTAGCATGTTCATGATTAAACATGAAGGGAATCTGAACTTTCGTAACGTCCAGCCCATGCCCTAAACCCTGAACCCTAAACTCTAAACCCACCCAACCCCCAAACCCGCCCACCCATTCAAGCCCAGAAGCTGCAGGTAGGAAGGGGCACACAGGTAGGTAGAGAGGTATAGTTAGGTAGGCAAGTAGGTATGGATAAGTAGATAGGCAGGAGGGAAGGTACTTGTAGGTGTAGGTGCGTCGGCAGGCTTCCAGGTCGGTAGGTAGGTAGATAGATAGCTAGGTAGGCGGGCATGTAGGTAAGGAGGCATTATGAGGAAAGAGGTTTAAAACCCCTAAACCCCTAACCCCTAAACCCTGAACCCTAAATCCAAAACCCGAAACCCTAAACTAACCTTCAACCCTAAAAGGTAGCAGGCAAAAGTAGTTGTAGGCATTCGTGCAGGCCCTGTCAGGATGTCAGGTGGCCACATCAAGGTCTTCGGAGCCCCGTACAGGGGCGTACCCGCGCCAAGGCCTGAATGGGCCGCGGGATGAACCCCGAATAGGGGTGAGCTTGGACCCCGAAGAGGGGTCGTCGGAGCCCCGTACAGGGGCGTACCCGCACCAAGGCCGAAAGGGCTGCGGGATGAACCCCGAAAAGGGGTGAGCCTGGACCCCGAACAGGGGTCGTGAGAACCCCGTGCAGGGGTGTGGATGAACCCCGAACAGGGGTGAGCTTGGACCCCGAACAGGGGTCGTTAGAGCCCCGCACAGGGGCGTACCGATGAACCCCGAAAAGGGGTGAGCCTGGACCCCGAACAGGGGTCGTGAGAACCCCATGCAGGGGTGTGGATGAACCGCGAACAGGGGTGAGGATGAACCCCGAGCAGGGGTGAGCCGGACCCTCAAAGACTGATGCAGAGAGAGAGAGAGGGAGAGAGAGAGAGACACAGCGAAAATAATTAACGAAGCAAGGAAGGAAGCAAGGAAGGAAGGAAGCAGGGAAGGAAGAAGGAATGATCAAGATGAGGGTGTGACTGTAGATGCGAGGAATGAGCAGGCAGCAAGGAGTGATGTGAGGGAGGCGGGAAGGGAAGGAAGAGAAGGAAAGTCATGCATGGCATCAGTATCCCTCTGCTCACTTTCAGTCTGTCGGCGGCCAGGCTGAGACAGTCTGCGCATCGAGATCCTCGAAGAGCCCCGGCCTAAGCCACACGGCCTTCCAAGACTTGACGGCTGCACCATGGGTTGCTTCCAAGCTCAACATGTTGAACTGCAGCAGCTTTTCAGCTCAAGATTCAACGCGATCGAACCGTTTTTGTCTGAGCGAGTGTACTCCGACTGAGGCGATTGTCCTCATGCAAACAAGGCAGTATTATTGACATGCGCATACACGCAGATCGTCAAAGACACGACTAGGAAAGAAGTGCCCCAGTTCGACGTACTGCCACGGAAGTGCAGCAATGGATCGAACGGATTTTGGCAGGCTTCATGGACCTGAAGGAAGTGACGATGACGATCGAACGACTCCTTATCATTCGGATGATAGCGATGGTTCCGCGGCCGATGCCACTACGGACATGGAAAGAAACATGTTTACGAGAGAAGAATTCCAGCGAATCTGCACCGACCTGGTGCTGGGATGTGTCATGATGAACTTGTCAATGGGATGGCAAATGGAGCGGGCTTTTTTGAGCGATCGGCAACTACGAAGTTTGCTACAGCACTTCCAAACCAAGCACAACAGACGCGGATCCTCTGCAGGTGATATTGTGGAAGCAGGTTTACAGGAACGGATTCCAACAATGCAGAAAGTACGCATGGTTCGACAATGCGACGTACTCCAAGGAAAGTTGCGAATGGAAGTGAACCCGGTAGATGCAGAGAGATTGCGGGGCTTGGTTGAGCAGCCTCCCGGCTGGGATTGGGATTTGCCTGATCGAGGAACCATGGAAAGGCTTTGCGAGGGCATTCTGGCCAACTCGTTTGAGTTTGAACGGATTCCAGTGACGGATGCTAGACGGATGGCAGTTCAATACTGCGAGGTCATCCGTCCACTGTTCGCTGTGAGGTTCCTGTCAATGGTTTTGCTGGGCATGCGGGACACGTACAGAGATCAGCTTTGGTTTCTGCTTCGCAGGCATGGAAGAGTCCTCAACGTATAGACGGACTGTACGTATAAGCAGTCTCACAAAAAACTTAAAAAGGGACTGATGTACGGATACACAGTCTCACAATAAACCAGGAATGGCGAGAAAAAACGTCTCAGTTGCTTAACAAATTGCTTGACGTGCCTTACTAATTGCTGGACCTAAACCCTGCACTCGTCGACCTGAGGTCAAGCCTTCTTCATGCCAAATTCGCTGGCAAGATCGACATTGTGTTTGGAGGCTCGTCCGGCTGCTCATGTTTGCATAAACCCTAAACCCTAAACATCCGGCCGGTACCACTACAAGATTGCGCGCCCGGCACGCGTACGCCTCAACTCCCGGAGCGCGTTCGCCTCAACTCCCGGCGCGCAGACCTGTGCACGTTGCAAACAGACTAAAGAATTGTATTATCACGTCCGGCACGCCCGGCGTGCACCCGCTGCGCGCCCGGCGCGCGCCCGCTGCACACCCGGCGCGCGCACCCTGGGTATATTTGGTTTTGGGTGGTAATAAACGACCGCCACATGTCATTCCTGCGCGCCCGTCGCAACCCGCTGCGCGCACATGTGTAAATTCTGTTGCAAGCATAATATTATGGAATAGTGTAAATATAGTATAGTACACGCTTACACTTCGCGCGTACGCCTGTACGTGCGGCACGCGCCCGCCCGCGCGCCCAGCGCGCGCGCCCGGGCGCGCGCGGCGCCGGCGCGCGGCCGCGCGCCGGGCGCGCGCCGGGCGCCGCGCGCCGGTGCGCCGGGCGCGCGCCGGGCGCGCGCGCCCGGCGCGCACCGTTGCAAGCAGAATATTATGGAATAGTGCAAATATACTACACGCGTACACTTGCTACGTATACACCTGTGTGCCCGGCGCGCGCCGGACGCGTGCCGGGCGCGCGCCGGGCGCGCGCTCGCGCGCGCGGCGGCGCGCCGGCCCGCCCGGCGCGCGCGCCGGCCCGCCCGGCGCGCGCGCCGGCGCGCGCCCCGAGAGCACGCCTGGTGCACACCGTTGCAAGCAGAATATTAAGGAATAGTGCAAATATACTACACGCGTAGACTTGGCACGTATACACCTGCGCGCCGTGCGCGCGCGCCGGCGCGCGCACTCGGCGCGCGCCGTCGCAAGCATTATTATTATGATTATTATGCTATTGAATGAATTGAATGTTCATTTCAATGAAGCATTCAACTCACATGTACAGCTGCCCTCCCGACGAAAAGAAATACTCGGTATTTATGGTTTTGCGTCAGTTTACCGCCCGCCACGCGTACTCCTGCGCGCCCGTCGCGCGTATGCCTGCACGACCCGCTGCGCACACATCCGTAAATTCATGTCGCAAGCAGAATAATATTATCGAATTTGTAAATATACTTGCACGGCCGGCGTGCGCATGCGTAACGCAAGCAGAATAATATCCAACAGTGTAGTAACTTTACTAGGATTATTAACGAAATTCAGTGAGACCAAAGTGCCTGTTTGACATGTGCGCCCGGCGAGTGCACCTACACCCTGTGGCGCAGACACAGGTTCAAGGCATCAACTGCAGAGCTTACCTACATAGTAGATGAAAGCATGAAAGCCATGAAAGCCATGAAGGCCATGAAGGCCAAGAAGGCCGCCAAGCAGGATGGCAACACGAGGGCAATGAAAGCCATGAAAGCAATGAAGGCGGCCAAGGTCCAACACAACGACGGCAATGTGAGGGCAATGAAAGCGATGAAAGCGATGAAAGCAAAGAAGGGCAAGCAGCGATCGGGTCAAAGTGGTCAAAGTGGCTGGCAAGCATGGCGAAAAAAGAAGGGTTCTGCTGAGAAGCAAGCTGTACTACATGCGCAGGCACCTGAAGGCGAAGAGGACAACACGGACAACACGGACAACACGGACAGCGAGCAGGAGCTGCCCGGCAACGAGAAAGCCACGCAAACACCTCCGATTATCAGACGTTTGCGAAGAGCACGTGACATTGAGGATCGCTTGAATTGCTTTGTGTCGGCATGCAAATACTTTCGTGTCGACATAGGCATGC